TATATATATATATATAACTCGAAACAAGGTGTCTTAGACGTACTCATTTCACATTTCATTGCATTTCACTTGCAGTTTTCTGAAAAAAATCATACCCTCTCCGCTTCAAGTGGATTTTCGGCATGAAGATTTAAATTTCTCAAATGCTATTGTTCTCGGCGATTTTTTGTGCAGTATGTTGGATTCTCTTCTTACATCGTAGACAGATTTCACACTACAAACTTTCAGATATTCATGTACTGCTTTGAATTAAATGTTTCAGTGGAGAGCATGGATTTGTTACGGTTATGCAGTTGTTCTTCCTTGCTCGTTTAATAACGAGAATAAAGATATTAACGTTTGCAACAAGGAAAAACGTTCTCTTGTTTCTCTAGAGGGCAACTTGCCAACCTGATTGTTGGGAATATTTTTATGAATAGGACAAATAAAAGAAAAAAAACTTGGAGTAAAAGCAGAATTTTTTACTGTATTACATGCTGTAAAAACCATGTGGAAAGGTTCAAACGAATAAAAATTGTATTTATTGGCTCAAAACCAGTAATTGTGGTTGATTATTTTCGAACAATTAATGAAAATGTTCACTTCTAGATCAGTTCATAACAAATGTATTCAATGGTATATCATAAATCTAAAATCGCGGCAACGAAGCGCGGTAAAATATTTTTCTCTAAATATAATTTTTTAAACTCAAAAATATAGTCCTTTTAATTTCTCTTTATCCTCCAACTAATAGTTGTATAATCATACAGCAAAAAGATTTGAAAGTTTTCCGCTGTAATTCCGTAAAATTATCAACAGTTTCATAAGATTTTGTATGGAACACGTCAATAGAAAATGATATGAGTGTCATGAAATATAAATACAGGGCGGTATAAATTACTCATAACAACACACGTCTGTGCCTATTGACATGGAATACGCGAATTTATATAGTTACTGCATTAAGGAAACCGTTTCTATGGAAAAGAGGACTTAACGTGCACACAAAAGCGTGGTCGAGTTTCGTCGTAGTAAGACTACATATGTTCCCGTGAGAAACTAACTGATTTAATAATTTGTTTTAATGTTTAATAGAAATTTCATTTACTTATATTACTAGTATTTGTTCTATTATTCTATTATTATTATTATTATTATTATTATTAATTTTATTATTGCAAGTACTAGTATAACTCTGTATCCTCTATATTTATACATACTCGTATGATCTGCAGTATTTCATTAGCTCAAATGATCCTTTCATTAGGGATTGTGATGAAAACAAAACAGGCAAATGAATATTAAAATACAATTTATTAAAGGATACAATCTTAAAAATTATCGAGTAGTCATAAAAAAGAGTATCTAAAATATCACTGCTGAGTGGTCAATTGCATAAAACTAAGACTGCTGCACGGCATCCCCTTGCGTTGTCCTCGAAGTTCACATCGTAGGATGGTCGTTGTCCTCTTCGCGGCGGTGCACGCGGTGCAGCGAGAGCGGCGAGATTCGTGGCGTAGTTACCCCACGAACGGTGCGTAAAGCAGGCAAGACGTAACGACCCCACTATAAATACGTTGATGAAATGGCCGAGGTCCGGGTACGAAACGTGATTACCTTATGTTTCCAAGTTCGTTGTACTTTGCGTCCAAGCGTACATAAAATATTGCTCTCAACTTGTCCGCCAAATGCTGGGGTAACAACCTGCGAGTGTACATAAAATTTGAGTGCTGGTGATTTCACGGCTACTCGGCATACGCGTGCGTATATTGAACATTCACTTACCTCGAAATGGCCGTGTACAGCCCCAGAGATCGCGGAATAGTAAACGAGCGTTCGTGCTCGCGAATGCCCTTCACGATCTGTTCGGCCACTGGGCGTACTTCCATGGGAGGAAATCTGGAAATAATTCAAGAAGCGAATGATCTTTTTCTTCCATTTGGCATTCGCGCTCTGTACTGTTACTGCGCCAATTTTAGGAATTCATGTGAGTCGTAACTGTAAGAACTAGCCGCGATATGGCGAGCGTTCAGCGACTCTGAACTCTGATATTCTAATGGAGAGAGATAAAACGCTCGTATATTATGGACATGAGCATATATCGAGTCTTTGTGAATTGTGTTGTTTTCTTTAAGGCAGATGTTTTGTGTAATAATTGCCTATTTGGACCTTTATTTTTATGATATTACAGTATTGCACAAGAAACAAATGAGAAATGAAGACGCAAGTTACTGTGGAAATATTCTTACTCAAAGAAATGAATATTTACCGTTAATTCCTCATAATATTAAATAATCAATATAGGTATTAAAAATATAGTGAAATGTAGATAAAATGTCATTTTTATATTAAAATACGATGAAAGCCATCAGTGAGAACATGCAGATGGAAAAATGTTTAGATATCATGATAAGTTGTAATCATGAATATCGTTATACTTTAATAGTTATGAAACCCATGTAGTGCAACGTTCCATCAGTGTTGTAACACTCAATTTCAAGTAAATGTTTAACAATAACATGAAATATAATTATAATAAACATTATTTTATCATAAACAAATTCACTGCAATTCAGGCGCTAAGAACTTGACACTGGTAAACAATTTAACAAGCAGCATCGAGATATTTCAACTTTTCTGCTTCTGCTAGTCGCTGCCATGTCACTGGCAAAGTATGAGATACAATGCACAAAGGTATCTAGTATTTTTTAATGTAGTAAATTCGCTTTTAATGTTGATCGTCTGATTTACACAATTCTCTGAATTTCATTTCCCTCCGTTGTAGAATTCAGTTCAGGTTATTTTCCATCATCCGGCCCCAAGCATCTTATTTACAAAAATGTAAATAGAAAGAAATCTCAGATTAGCAACATCATCGTAGAATGTTTTAAACATTTAATCCTAAAATTACAATGTATCCTACATTTTCCCTTCAAGCACAGGGTGGAAGACGTTCTTTAAACAATTCTTCTCCGAGGGCGCCATCGCGTGAAAGAGGAAGTGGACGCAGTGGGGTCCGCGTTAAAACGCTTTTAATTCTGCTTCGGCGAGAATCTTTTCCCGAGAATAATAGATAAAGCGCCGGTTAGGGGGAGGTGGGAGGACGAAAGAAGGCGAAAGAGCGGAGAAGAACCCACCCTCTTCCATTATTCAGAGAGTGAGGTCTTCCCTTGGCCCGGCCCGACCCGGCCTCCCTGACGCAGGCGGCCTTGGGTCCGGTCGGGGCGATTGAGTTTCCTGGCGCCGCGGCGCGCCGTCCCGCTGATCTCGCCACCTCCGTCGCCCTTGCCGCCCATGCCGCCCCCTCACCTGCCGCGCCACCATCCCACTCCATATCGCCCCCCTCCTCCATCCTCGCAACCGCCCACAGCGCGGCCT